TTTATATATATATATATATATATATATATATATATATATATATATATAAAGGTAACGAGTAGACCAAAACGGTTGGGTTATTCACTCCGCGATTAATCATACAGAGTACACAACTATCCACAAGGATATATATCCCTGAACGTTTTGTCGCGGCAATAACGACAGTCACGCTCTCTCCTATATTGCATGTATAATTATCGATGCGCATATACATAACTAGAGATATATACATATACAACCAAAGTGGTGGCATGCAGGTTATGGCCGGGTGAAGAAGGTGTCGTGGCTATGGGTGGAATATATATAGAAGCTTATCCATCCAGATCCAGCGATACACCCAATATTGATACAGACAACCGGGACTATACCTAACGTCATCAGCCTATTCTAATCAACCTTTACGAATCTCCTGTTAATGTATATTATTAACACTCTTAATAACTATCGATTAACACACTTGAAAAGTCATTCAAAATTAGATATTAATTTTAGTGTTTCACAAAAACTAATTACCATATACATTAAATGAAAAAAAAAATAACTTGATTAAACAACTACAGAATAAGTTATGAAGAAAGAATATCATTATTTAGATTTATACATAATAATATAAATATCGGTAAGATATAACAATTTTTAAACTCTATTTTTTAACATTTTTTAAATATTTTAAATTCTATTTAACTATAATTTAGCGACAAATTACCATAAAAAATCATAATAATATATTTTTTTCCAATATGTTGTGTCTAATTTCTATGTCCTTGAAATATATAAATTATCTCAGATGTTAAAATATTTTTATCAAGATTTTTAACAAGGACACTAAAAAATATTTTTAATGCTTTTTAAGTAAAATTTTATAAAAACAGTCGAAAGCGACGGATAGTTTTTGTATGGCCATAAAAGGGAAGAGCCCAAAGTCACTGGTTTAATTATCGGCAAGCTAAAGTTTAATTTGTTATGGCTGATCAGTGTATTGCACCGTAAAAAACTCCGTTCAATACACCCTCCTTCTGTTAAGTTATACCTTAAGTTTCTTTATA